AGCTAGAAATTTGAAACTCGCAAATGGATAACAATGCAATATCATTATAATTTTCATATTTCCCTTGGGTCTACGCCCCGTGGGTTTCCAAATTTTCCATGTTTACATTTTGGAAGCATGTAAATAGTCAAATACATCAATTGAAGTCAGCTGTAAATACCTTAATTTAAAATTGTTAAAAGTTAAAAATAAAAAAGGTACAAAGCAAAAACGTACAATATATAACTAATAAGCTACTAATTAGCCAACATTGATGATATACCATGATTTAATGGTTTTCATTAACTGCAATATTAATTTTATCTGTATATCTTCCAGGTGTCTTCACAATGACAATACTTTACGCTTCAGTCCTCGCAGATGTTGCATCATCATCGTTGCATGTGCTGTGCTCCACAACTTCGGGATAAGAAGGGCATTATGGCAAGATGTTGTGGACCCACTAGATGACGTTGAAGCCATTGCTGATGATCCTGTGGATGAGAACGACCTCCCTGCTTATGACCTTCCAGAAGGAATTTTGTCTCGAAACGACATTATCCGTCGTCACTTTTCCTAGAGAGTGTGCTAGAGACCTCAGTAGGAATAACGCAAAAAGTTTTGTTACACCTTTTTATTACGTTCAATTAAACGGGGCTCGTGTGACTAATAAAATTACACTGTTTTGAAAAAAATAATGTTTTATTGTTATTGACGGCTGTACAGTTAGGAAATACAAATATGTTCACACGTAAACTGCATACATTTGATTTTGTACTTTATTCTGAACTAAACTGTATTACGATATTTTATTTATTATTGTTTGTTATAACCAAATAACATATAACGAAAAGGTTGATTTTAATACTTGGCAAAATTAATAACTCCTTCCACCTGAACTAACAAACTAAATTTATATAAGTTCAACACTAATTTCAAACGAAATAATAAAACACTTTTATTAATAAAAACTATCACCTTAGCCCTAAAAACCGGGGAAAAATTAAAATAGTTATACATACAGTACAATACCTGAACTAACAAACTAAATTTATATAAGTTCAACACTAATTTCAAACGAAATAATAAAACACTTTTATAAATAAAAACTATCACCTTAGCCCTAAAAACCGGGGAAAAATTAAAATAGTTATACATACAGTACAATACCTGAACTAACAAACTAAATTTATATAAGTTCAACACTAATTTCAAACGAAATAATAAAACACTTTTATAAATAAAAACTATCACCTTAGCCCTAAAAACCGGGAAAAAATTTTAATAGTTATACATACAGTACAATACTATTACCAGTACCTATTAAACGTTAGTAAAACATTGTTTCGTCTTTGGGCTAAACAGTCGTTATATGTCTAAAAGAGATTATTGATTACTAAGACCAAAAAAGTGAAATCATTCCTTGGACCGGTACTAAGTAAAGACATTATAACGGAATAAATATATGATAAATATTCAAATTGATTATATACTAAAGAAACAACCTGAAATGTTTTTAAATAAAAAATAACCCCCATACCCTAACCTTAACAACGTATTAGTAAAACATTCCTAAAATTAATATTGAACGACTTATTACAACATAAATCGAGCAAAAATACCATCAAAAATACCAAAAAATCATATTAAACTATCGTTCGTTTTGGTTATACAGGTTTTAGTTTGTAAGGTGTTGACTGAAGAGCTGAAATGTTCGTTGCTCTGAGCTTTCTTCTACATCTCCTTCATGATGTTCGTGGCTAGCTTCTTGTCGAAGAACAATTCGTTTTTTCAATTGCCAATAACTCAGTTCTTCTTTAATTACTCTCATTTTTTCCTCGTGCTCCAGTTTTAAATACTCCATCCGTTTTTTGTGGAACTCTTCGGCATACTTCACAACTTTCTTGTGAGTTTTCTTTGTACCAACTGGAGGAGGGGTTGTAGAGGGGGTATTACCACCTGTAGTTGAGTTTTCCGCTCTCGATGACGAAGCAGGAGATAGGAATTCTACAGAAGTGGGGTCGTCAACGGTTTGTTCATCGTCCTCTAAAAAGAAAATCCTTTCATAGTATTGAAAAAATCTACGTAAACTAATGTAATAGTTGGCAAGTGCCTTATTACTTGCATTATTGTAATCGTATAATTGTTCCGTTTAAATGCCTAAGCACTGCATTTCAGTTAATCAATTTTTAAACCGATAATTTAATTCTTTATTACGATAATACTGTTAAATATTAATGTGTTATTATGTTGTTGTTGTTATATATACGAAGACTGTATAACAATTTTTGACTTTGCCTATTGTATAAATGTAGCCTATATACACAATGACAATAAAGAGATTTGGTTTGATTTGATTTGATTTGTATTATTGATGAAAAATCCTGTGGGAAAATGTATGGCTCTTAACATTCCCGCTTTTCCAACATTTTAAAATTCCTAAACTTTAAGGTGAAGATCTAGTTGAGCGGGCAACCTCAAGGTCATTGCACCAGCCCCCTCTCACTCCTTACCCCTTGGCGAGGGAGAGCGTCTTAGGGGGTGGTGACCGCCAACGATATAAACAACTCGTGACCGCATGACGTCACTAGGCTGCAGCTGGTGCTTCCCCCATCTGAGGATTCACAAGTGAAACTTCGTGGATATGTTAATCCATATATGGAATCCATGGATTTGTAATTGTTACATATGCAACACATTTATTATGATTAATATAAATTCTAGACATTGTTATAATATAACTTACTTCATTATTGATTACTTTTTAATTTTTACAGACATATGAAATTAATTTAGATTTTTCAATTATTTTGTATATTTTTTTGGCGTGGGAATGGGAAATCTGTATGTATTTGATATTATTATCACCTATTGTGTCTTATATACTTATTCACATCAGAATTTATTTGAAGGCTAGTTATGTTTCCCTTAAGTTTAGAAAAAAATGATTTGTGTTATTGCAACAGATACTTTACAATTGCAGTTTTATCTTAAACTCAAAACTATGTCGGGGGTAAGGAGTCGATATGTTGTAAATACAAATCGCAATATCTCTTAAACATTACAGATAGCTGGATTTAATTTACACCTCTGTTCTTCGATGAATTTGAATATTATTGAAATTATACTTAAAACATTAACCTTCAAAGAGTAAACTGTACCATTAATATTAGTGAGTAAAGTGTAATATTTAATAATATTAGTAATATTTCACCACAACGGGCACTGTTGCTAGTAAGATTATACTCACCATAATCATTGTCATCATCGGGAATGTATTCCAGAGGTGTTTGATCTGCCAATATTTCCTCCATTCCCGTATCTTCCTCTGTAGTTGGCGATGGCGGTCCTCCCCCTGTTTTAAATTTACTACGACGTTCGGCAGCTTTCTTTGTTTTGTAAGTGCTTTTAATTCTTTTCCAAGCAGTTTTTAACTGGGGGATGGTTCGCTGATGTACAAAACTTTGCGCATTAAACTCTGTTGCGATTTTCTGCCATGCAGTTTTACGAATGGATTCAGTCTTTTGGTCGTGCAATTTCTTTTCGATTATTGGATGTTTTAACACCAATTCTTTGACTAAATCTAGTTCTTGTTTGGACAAATTAGGGGTGCGCTTCGCGGTCTTCTTGGTATCAGCCATGGTCAATGTGACACAATAATACAATTAAACGCACTGTTTCTATATCACTACCACTTAAAAAAAGTAATCAACCGCACTGTTTTATATCACTACCACTTAAAAACAGTAATCAAACTCACTGTTTTCACTTAAACAAAGTAACCATACACAATCTTTACTAAGCCAAACTAACTAAAACAACAAAAAGAATTATCTTAAAATAAAAAAATTACATCAACGCCAAAACTCACAACCTCCTCTCGAACTACATACACCAAAATTTGACAGAAAACTAAATAGTGTCAGGGCATATCCCCCCTCTCCAAGGGTGCTTTTGTTGTTGTCGACTGTCACGAGTTCTGCAGTGGCCGTTGCCAACCCTACAACATAAATTCCCCGCGATTCCCTGTCCATCTAGCCGCGCTGCGACTTAGGCGCGCCTATACTTGATCTACGACCATTTCAACTTAGGCGCGAGCTCCCAAGCCTGGTTTCTGGTCCTGGGACTAAAGTTAGGCGCGTCCAACACTAGGCGCGTACTAGCTGGGCTCGAGCTCCCAAACCGCCCCAGGGGCGGTTTGGGAGCTCGGTATTAGCGCTAGTCCGCGACTAAATCCGGATATTTCCGGTATTTTAGGCTGCCGCCTCGAAAACGGGTTTGTGAGCTCGGGATCAGTAAGGCGCGCGCCTAACTTGTGCAGGGATAATCTCGCGCCTAAATATTGTTGGTTTGGGAGTCAAGTAGACTTAGACGCCAGCCTAAGAGATAGTCTCGGTGGGTTTGGGAGACCAATTTCGGGACTAAGAGGTATGTTTTCGTCATAAAAATCAGTGAGTTTAGTCCCCAACTTTAGTCCTGCCAGAGGGCAGGTCTAAGTCGACATCATGCCGGTATTAGCTCATTAGCAAGTTTATTGTTTACATATTAACTAAAAGAATGTTATATTGGAATTCGTTATTAAATTCCGAACATTTTCATTACCCTCAAAGTATATTTGAAAAAAAAAATTTTTTTAGGTTTCTTAAGTTAAAAATAAAACAAAGATCGCTTTTAACCAACAATTATTTTGTTTTTGTATTTATTGTTAGATGCAATATAAATATAGGCAATAACGGGAGTTGTTTTAACCGAGAGTTTGATAATAAGCACCCAAACCTTTATTATAAATAATCTATTTGTTATAATAAATATTCACTACGAAAAAGTGAGCATATACGTATTCCCCTGCACTCCCTCTCCTCCGATTATGAAAGAGTGGAGAAATAAAACGAACAATAAAAATAGATCATAAAAACTGCTCAGAATCACTGCTCACTGCTCAGTCTTTATCGATCGTTTCAGTGTTCAAGTACATTATTGTGACTGTGCTCGTGTAGTGTCATTGACCGCGCGCTAGTGATATGGAGTACCTCGATTATTTGGACTATGTCAGGATACATCCACCTCGCATACCTGGTAGATATCGTAATTTTAATCCATTGAATGATCTGTCAGAAGAAGAGTTTAGAGACCGATTTAGATTGTCAAAGGATGCAGTGAATGAATTAATTGAATTATTAACTCCGAGGCTAAGAGCTCCTGACCCGAGAGGCCCTCATGGGATTCCTATCTGGAAGAAAGTATTGATAGCCTTACGTTTTTTTGCTGTAGGTAGCTTCCACAGAGAAACGGGTGATTTATTAGATTGCGGCGAATCTACTGCTTGTCAAATAGTTCACAAAGTGGCGCTGGCTATTTGCTTGGAATTAAAGAGAGAATATATTAAATTCCCCTCGGGGGATTACGCAACCGAAACTAAAAATAGTTTTTACAACAAGTACGGTTTTCCAGGAGTTTTAAGTTGCATTGATGGAACTCACATTCCTATTGTCTGCCCTGCCACTCCGGACAAGGAGGAGTATAGGAACAGAAAAGGCTTCTTTTCCATCAATGTATTAGCCGCTGCTGGTGCCGAACTAGAATTTACGTTCATAGTTGCACGATGGAAGGGAAGTACACACGACTCGAGAGTATTTAAAAACTCATCCCTTTACGCTAATTTTGAGGAAAGAGACATGGGTGGCCTGCTGATTGGAGATAGCGGATATGAATGTAATAGGCAAGTATTATACTTTAGTTTATAATTTAATTAGTAGGTGAAACAATATTACATATTAATGCAACCCTGACATGAAGTAATGAGGTACCTAGCTATTAATTTTATCAATTGTAATAACAGTGTTAAACCTATTGTTATTTTTTTAGTATTTAATGGAGTGTAATTAACAATTTATTGTATATTGTACTGGTTTTGCGTACAACATTTTGTAATACCATTTTGAGTGTAGCCGTTTTGGTCTTCCATACGAAGTAGCCTACAAATGAACTTTCTAACATAGTAACATTTCCAACCGATCATGATAAAATAGCCTAATATTTATTTATACACACACACACACACACACACACACACATATATATATATATATATATATATATATACAAATGTATAAATAATATAGCCACTGCTGAATGTATTGAATCGATTTCAGGTTCTTGATGACACCTTTGTTGAATCCTGTTACTCCTGCCCAGGGACGTTATCAAAGAGCATTAGTTCGGACAAGATCGAGTGTCGAAAGAATGTTTGGTCTATTTAAAAACCGATTCAGGTGTGTGATAGTGTTAAAATAGGAAAATATTATATTAAGGGTGTCATGTCTAAAATTGTATAGTAAATTAGTTTTATAAATTAGTGTAATCTATTTACAATCAAATTTTATGTAAATGGTTTAGGCCTCTTATTAGTTTTCACAACGTTTATATTACTTTGCTTCCTTGTTTGTTAGGTACAAATTTTGCAATAGATTTTACACTAACTTCCCGAGCTAGAAATTTGAAACTCGCAAATGGATAACAATGCAATATCATTATAATTTTCATATTTCCCTTGGGTCTACGCCCCGTGGGTTTCCAAATTTTCCATGTTTACATTTTGGAAGCATGTAAATAGTCAAATACATCAATTGAAGTCAGCTGTAAATACCTTAATTTAAAATTGTTAAAAGTTAAAAATAAAAAAGGTACAAAGCAAAAACGTACAATATATAACTAATAAGCTACTAATTAGCCAACATTGATGATATACCATGATTTAATGGTTTTCATTAACTGCAATATTAATTTTATCTGTATATCTTCCAGGTGTCTTCACAATGACAATACTTTACGCTTCAGTCCTCGCAGATGTTGCATCATCATCGTTGCATGTGCTGTGCTCCACAACTTCGGGATAAGAAGGGCATTATGGCAAGATGTTGTGGACCCACTAGATGACGTTGAAGCCATTGCTGATGATCCTGTGGATGAGAACGACCTCCCTGCTTATGACCTTCCAGAAGGAATTTTGTCTCGAAACGACATTATCCGTCGTCACTTTTCCTAGAGAGTGTGCTAGAGACCTCAGTAGGAATAACGCAAAAAGTTTTGTTACACCTTTTTATTACGTTCAATTAAACGGGGCTCGTGTGACTAATAAAATTACACTGTTTTGAAAAAAATAATGTTTTATTGTTATTGACGGCTGTACAGTTAGGAAATACAAATATGTTCACACGTAAACTGCATACATTTGATTTTGTACTTTATTCTGAACTAAACTGTATTACGATATTTTATTTATTATTGTTTGTTATAACCAAATAACATATAACGAAAAGGTTGATTTTAATACTTGGCAAAATTAATAACTCCTTCCACCTGAACTAACAAACTAAATTTATATAAGTTCAACACTAATTTCAAACGAAATAATAAAACACTTTTATTAATAAAAACTATCACCTTAGCCCTAAAAACCGGGGAAAAATTAAAATAGTTATACATACAGTACAATACCTGAACTAACAAACTAAATTTATATAAGTTCAACACTAATTTCAAACGAAATAATAAAACACTTTTATAAATAAAAACTATCACCTTAGCCCTAAAAACCGGGGAAAAATTAAAATAGTTATACATACAGTACAATACCTGAACTAACAAACTAAATTTATATAAGTTCAACACTAATTTCAAACGAAATAATAAAACACTTTTATAAATAAAAACTATCACCTTAGCCCTAAAAACCGGGAAAAAATTTTAATAGTTATACATACAGTACAATACTATTACCAGTACCTATTAAACGTTAGTAAAACATTGTTTCGTCTTTGGGCTAAACAGTCGTTATATGTCTAAAAGAGATTATTGATTACTAAGACCAAAAAAGTGAAATCATTCCTTGGACCGGTACTAAGTAAAGACATTATAACGGAATAAATATATGATAAATATTCAAATTGATTATATACTAAAGAAACAACCTGAAATGTTTTTAAATAAAAAATAACCCCCATACCCTAACCTTAACAACGTATTAGTAAAACATTCCTAAAATTAATATTGAACGACTTATTACAACATAAATCGAGCAAAAATACCATCAAAAATACCAAAAAATCATATTAAACTATCGTTCGTTTTGGTTATACAGGTTTTAGTTTGTAAGGTGTTGACTGAAGAGCTGAAATGTTCGTTGCTCTGAGCTTTCTTCTACATCTCCTTCATGATGTTCGTGGCTAGCTTCTTGTCGAAGAACAATTCGTTTTTTCAATTGCCAATAACTCAGTTCTTCTTTAATTACTCTCATTTTTTCCTCGTGCTCCAGTTTTAAATACTCCATCCGTTTTTTGTGGAACTCTTCGGCATACTTCACAACTTTCTTGTGAGTTTTCTTTGTACCAACTGGAGGAGGGGTTGTAGAGGGGGTATTACCACCTGTAGTTGAGTTTTCCGCTCTCGATGACGAAGCAGGAGATAGGAATTCTACAGAAGTGGGGTCGTCAACGGTTTGTTCATCGTCCTCTAAAAAGAAAATCCTTTCATAGTATTGAAAAAATCTACGTAAACTAATGTAATAGTTGGCAAGTGCCTTATTACTTGCATTATTGTAATCGTATAATTGTTCCGTTTAAATGCCTAAGCACTGCATTTCAGTTAATCAATTTTTAAACCGATAATTTAATTCTTTATTACGATAATACTGTTAAATATTAATGTGTTATTATGTTGTTGTTGTTATATATACGAAGACTGTATAACAATTTTTGACTTTGCCTATTGTATAAATGTAGCCTATATACACAATGACAATAAAGAGATTTGGTTTGATTTGATTTGATTTGTATTATTGATGAAAAATCCTGTGGGAAAATGTATGGCTCTTAACATTCCCGCTTTTCCAACATTTTAAAATTCCTAAACTTTAAGGTGAAGATCTAGTTGAGCGGGCAACCTCAAGGTCATTGCACCAGCCCCCTCTCACTCCTTACCCCTTGGCGAGGGAGAGCGTCTTAGGGGGTGGTGACCGCCAACGATATAAACAACTCGTGACCGCATGACGTCACTAGGCTGCAGCTGGTGCTTCCCCCATCTGAGGATTCACAAGTGAAACTTCGTGGATATGTTAATCCATATATGGAATCCATGGATTTGTAATTGTTACATATGCAACACATTTATTATGATTAATATAAATTCTAGACATTGTTATAATATAACTTACTTCATTATTGATTACTTTTTAATTTTTACAGACATATGAAATTAATTTAGATTTTTCAATTATTTTGTATATTTTTTTGGCGTGGGAATGGGAAATCTGTATGTATTTGATATTATTATCACCTATTGTGTCTTATATACTTATTCACATCAGAATTTATTTGAAGGCTAGTTATGTTTCCCTTAAGTTTAGAAAAAAATGATTTGTGTTATTGCAACAGATACTTTACAATTGCAGTTTTATCTTAAACTCAAAACTATGTCGGGGGTAAGGAGTCGATATGTTGTAAATACAAATCGCAATATCTCTTAAACATTACAGATAGCTGGATTTAATTTACACCTCTGTTCTTCGATGAATTTGAATATTATTGAAATTATACTTAAAACATTAACCTTCAAAGAGTAAACTGTACCATTAATATTAGTGAGTAAAGTGTAATATTTAATAATATTAGTAATATTTCACCACAACGGGCACTGTTGCTAGTAAGATTATACTCACCATAATCATTGTCATCATCGGGAATGTATTCCAGAGGTGTTTGATCTGCCAATATTTCCTCCATTCCCGTATCTTCCTCTGTAGTTGGCGATGGCGGTCCTCCCCCTGTTTTAAATTTACTACGACGTTCGGCAGCTTTCTTTGTTTTGTAAGTGCTTTTAATTCTTTTCCAAGCAGTTTTTAACTGGGGGATGGTTCGCTGATGTACAAAACTTTGCGCATTAAACTCTGTTGCGATTTTCTGCCATGCAGTTTTACGAATGGATTCAGTCTTTTGGTCGTGCAATTTCTTTTCGATTATTGGATGTTTTAACACCAATTCTTTGACTAAATCTAGTTCTTGTTTGGACAAATTAGGGGTGCGCTTCGCGGTCTTCTTGGTATCAGCCATGGTCAATGTGACACAATAATACAATTAAACGCACTGTTTCTATATCACTACCACTTAAAAAAAGTAATCAACCGCACTGTTTTATATCACTACCACTTAAAAACAGTAATCAAACTCACTGTTTTCACTTAAACAAAGTAACCATACACAATCTTTACTAAGCCAAACTAACTAAAACAACAAAAAGAATTATCTTAAAATAAAAAAATTACATCAACGCCAAAACTCACAACCTCCTCTCGAACTACATACACCAAAATTTGACAGAAAACTAAATAGTGTCAGGGCATATCCCCCCTCTCCAAGGGTGCTTTTGTTGTTGTCGACTGTCACGAGTTCTGCAGTGGCCGTTGCCAACCCTACAACATAAATTCCCCGCGATTCCCTGTCCATCTAGCCGCGCTGCGACTTAGGCGCGCCTATACTTGATCTACGACCATTTCAACTTAGGCGCGAGCTCCCAAGCCTGGTTTCTGGTCCTGGGACTAAAGTTAGGCGCGTCCAACACTAGGCGCGTACTAGCTGGGCTCGAGCTCCCAAACCGCCCCATAGAGTCTATGCGAAATTCCACTTCTGCTTCAACTAACACATTTAAATGGGTTTTCCCCGCTGTAGTGAGGAGTGCGTTAGTCGGCTTGATAATATATTTTGATTCCCTGAGCTCCTTGCTATTTACACATGAAATATTAGCTCCAGAATCTAAGAGTATAGCTACTTCACCTCCCTCCATTCACGTGCAAAGGATATCTTTTCTTGATTCCCCGAGTAACAACTGAGCTGAAAACACTTGCCGCTTTCATTTGTTTTGTAAAGTCAGAAAGGAACCTTATATGCTTTTGCTGATATTGCTTTTGCACACATGGATTGTAAATGTTACACTCATCATTATCTGCTAGAAGAAGAATAACTGCGGGTGTGGCCGTGGCTTTTAGGAAACACTTTGGGAAGCCTGACTTAAAAGATTGCCTAACAAACTTTTTGACATGCCAAAGGACCAATCCTAAACAAGCAACGGTATATAGCCTTATAACCAAAGAACACTTCAACGGCAAACCAACGCTGGGTGCTTATAACTCTGCTTTCAAAGATCTGACAGTCAATATTAAAACCAAGAGCTTCAGAGTGCTAATCTGCTCCCCAATGGGATGTGTCCGAGATCTTGTGCAGATTGAGCATTTTGCCATGAAGATAAGCGAGTTTCATGATATCACCGGTGTACCGGTCATAGTTGTCACCAACATGCAACCAGGAGCTCAGCGTGGTCTCCATCATGGACTCTCCCATCCCCAATTCACCCTCAAACTTCGACAAGAATTACAAAAAGTAGCACAATCAAGAAGTGTTTTCACAACAACAGTTTCAACTTCAGCTACAATCACCACCTAGTAGCCCTCAACAGCAGTCATCACCAGATCAGCATCCCTCAACACAACAACATCCCTCTGCAATAGAAGTTCCTGATGTTGGCTCCACAGGCTACCGAACGGTTCCTGGTCATCTCAACTACAATGAGGTGTTGAAGAGGAAACCATCAGTGTCAAGTGCCAAAAAGCAGAGTAAATGTGTTGTGTCAAGTGGTGAGAGCAATCCAGTGATAGATGTAGATTCCTCCTTAGATAATAGCTCACATTTGTCTTTAAACTAAGATATCCTGACAAAGACCAAATGCCTGCTAAACTAGTTCTAGACATATTTTACAATCTCAACAGTAAAGCTCAGAGTAATATATTAGCTCAGATTCATTAAAAAACAGTGATACTTACAGTAAATTTAATTTAGTAATGCACTACAATTGTCAAGGGTTAAATTCTACTAAAATATCAGAGCTCAATTTATTTTTATCACAGTCCAAATTAAATATTAAAGTCATGTCATTGAATGAACTTTGGTTGGATAATGATTCTATTTCTTTACTCAACACAATAGATAATTTTAGAAG